TGCAACCATTTTTGAATCATTTTCAACAAAATTTTATTTTACTGTGATACTAATGATACTATTTGATAATATCCAAATTCTGTTGCATCACTTTTCCTTAAAATGGAGACAAATATGCATGTCTTCCAGTCGGTTGGCCAGGTAGTTGTCTCCCAATTTTTTTGGCATTGATGAGTGAGGTCTTCCAGCATTGCATCCATTTGTTGAAATATCTCAGTTGGTATTCTGTCAATATTTGGAGCTTTGTTTTTCAGTGAAGGAGCCATTCCTTCAGTGAAGCTTAGACTTCTTCCTTCAGTACCATTGATTCTTGACCATATGCCATCTCCTGAAATGGATGAAAATAAATTCTTTTCAGTACAGTGATTTTGTGTACTCCTTTCATCTCCTTTCGATACTTCCTGCATTGTTCTAATTTTGCCCATAGAATCCTTCAATATTGCAACTGGAGGTTTGAACTTTTTCTTCAGTTCTTTCAGCTTGAGAAATACCAACCAAGTTCTTCCCTTTTGTTTTTCTAAATCTAGGTCTTTGCACATTTCTTTATAATACTTTACTTTGCCTTCTTGATCTGCATTTTTAAATCTTCTGTTCAGCTCTTTTACTTCATCAGTTCTTTTTGTTTTAGTTACTCTCCATTCAAGAGCAAGTTTCAGAGTCTTGTCTGACATCCATTTTGATCTTTTCTTTCTTGGTTTTCTAATGATCTTTTCCTTTCTTCATGTATAATGTCCTTGATGTCAATTTGTCTGGTCGTCAGACATTAGTGTTCAAAGTGTCAAATCTATTCTTGAGATGGTCTCTAAATTCAGGTGAAATATAGTTAAGGTTGTACTTTGGCTCTCATGGACTTGTTCTAATTTTCTTCAGCTTCAACTTGAACTTACCTGTTCTGCAGTCAGTCCCTAGCCTTGTTCTGACTGACAATATTAGCTTCTCCATCATCTCTTTCCACAGAAACAGTCACTTGGATTCCTGTGTATTCCATATGGTGAGGTCCACATGTGGAGTTGCCATTTGTGTTGTTGAAAAAAAGGTGTTTGCAATGAATAAGTCATTGGTCTTGCAAAATTCTATCATGTGATTTACCGTGTTGTTTCTATCACCAAGGTCATATTTTCCAACTACTGATCCTTTTTTGTTTCCAACTTTCACATTCCAAGCACCAGAAATTACCAATGCATCTTTATTGCATGTTTGATCAATTTCAGACTGCAGAAGTTGGTAAAAATGTTCAATTTTTTCATCTTTGGCATTAGTAATTAGTGTGTACATTTGAATAATAGTCATATTAACTGGTCTTCCTCATTAAAAAAAAAAAAAAACGCACTGCCATTGAGTCAGTCTTGACTCAAGCAACCTCTCCTTGGGCTTCCAAGGTGGTATCTCTACAGAAGTAGATTGTCCAGTCTTCCTTCTGAGGGGTGCCTGGTGGGTTTGAACCATGAGCCTTCTGGTTAACAGTCAAGTGCCTTAGACACTATAGCACCAGAGCTCCCTACTTCAAGATGGCTCTTGAAATGTTCTTTTTGATGATGAATGTGATGCCAGTGCTCTTCAATTTGTCATTCCTGGCATAGTAGACCGTATGATTGTCCAAATCAAAATGGCCAATGCTAGTCCATTTCAGCTCACTAATGCTTAGGGTATGGATCTTTATATGTTCTATTTCATTTTTGACAACTTCCAATTTTCCTAGATTGATACTTTATACATTCCACATTCTAATTATTAATGGATGTTTGCAGCTGTTTCTTCTAATTTTGAGTCATGCCACTTGAACAAATGAAGGTCACAAAAGATTTACTCCATCCATGTCATTAAGGTCAACTCTACTTTAAGGAGATAGCTCTTCTCCAGTCATAGTTTGAGTGCCTTCCAACCTGAGGGGCTCATCTTCTGGCACTTTATCAGGCAATGTTCTGATGCAATTAATAAGGTTTCACTAGTTTTTTCTTTCAAAAGTGGATCACTAAGTCCTCCTTCCTAGTCTGTCTCAGTCTGCAAGCTCTGGTGAATCCTGTCGACCCTGGTGATCCTGCTGGTATTTGAAATACCAGTGGTATACTTCCAGCATCACACCAATATGCAAACCGCTACAACAAACTGAAAGACAAGTGGTTGAAGACTGCCATGTAATACAGCAAATCCATTCCTAAGTATGTACCCAAAAGACTTGAAAACAGGGACTCAAGAAAGATACTTCTTCACCAATGTTCATAGCAGAATTATTCAAAGTAGCCAAAAGGTGGCAACAATCTAAATATCCATCAACAAATGAATGGGTAAACAAATAGTGTATATAGCCATACAATGGAATAAAAAACAAAAACAAAAATAAAAAAACCTGGAATGGAATAATATTCAGTCATAAATAGGAATGAAGAGCTGATATATACTACCACATGAAAGAACCTTGAAAATATTATGCAAAGTAAAATAAGACACAAAAGCCAAATATTGTTTCATTCCATTATATGGAATATCTAGAATAGGCAAATTCACACAGATAAAATGCAGATTATGGTTTATTAGGTGCTGGGAGGAGGGAGAATGGGGAGTTATTGCTTAACAGGTCCAGAGTCTGTTTGGGGTGATGAAAAAGTTTTGGAGATATATAGTGGTAATGGTTGCATAACATTGGGAATATAATTAATGCCACTGAATTGCATGCTTAAAAATGGGCAAAAGGACAAATTGTATGTTCTATATGTTGCCACATTAATATTTTTTTTAAAAAACAACATATCATAGGTGGTGCTGTATACTTCTTGTTGTAGCACAAATGTATCACAAAACCTATCTGAAACCATGGCATACTGTTGTTGTGTGCCATTCAGTCATTTGCTACTCATGTTGTTGCTGTTAGGTTCTGTTAAGTCAATTTCAACTCATTACAGCCCTATGTACAACAGAATGAAACACTGCTTGGTCCTGTACTATCCTTATAGTCATTGCTATGTTTGAGCCCATTTTGCAGCCACCGTGTCAGTCCATCTTGTTGAGGGGCTCCATCTTTTTCACTGATCTACTTTACAAAGCATGATGTCCTTCTCCAGGGACTGGTAACATAGCCAAAGTTTGTGAGATGAAGTCTCACCATTCTTGCTTCTAAGGAGCAGTCTGACTGTACTTCTTTCAAGACCGATTTGTTTCTTCTTCAGACAGTCTATGGTATATTCAATATTCTTCACCAACACTATAATTCAAAGGCATCACTTCTCCATCTTCCTTATTTGTTGTCCAGCTTCTGCATACATATGAGGTGATTGAAAATATGATGGTTTGGGTTAGGTGCACCTTAGTCCTCAAAATGACATCTTTGCTTTTTAACATGTTAAAGAGGTCTTTTGCAGAAGATTTGCTCAATGCAATATGTTGTTTGATTTCTTGACTGCTGCTTCCAAGGGCATTGATTGTGGATCTTAACTTGTCTATATTTTCTCTGTTTATCATGATGTTGCTTATTGGTCTAGTTTTAAGCATTTTTGTTTTCTTCATGTTAAAGTATAATCTATACTCAAAGATGAAGTCTTTGATCTTCATCAATAAGTCCTTCACGTCCTCTTCCCTTTCAGCAAGAGAGGTTGTATCATTTGCATATTGCAGATTGTTAATGAGTCTTCTTCCAATGCTAATGACACATTCTACATTGAGTCCAGGTTCTCAGATTATTAGCTCTGCATACAGAGAATACTCATAGTGACCCTATCCAATAGAGTAGAACTGCCCCATAGGGTTTCCTAGTTTTTAAGTTTTATAGGAGGATAACATCAAGTCTTTCTCCTGTGAAGGCAATAAGTGGATTCAAACCTCTGGCCTTTCTATTAACAACCAAAACCCACGTGCCAACATGCCTCCTTTACCTTGACACAGCGTGCTGTTAATATAATGTCTTACACAGAGTAAACATTAAGTACATTGATGTGGAGGAAGTAAGTGAAGAAGGAGGGAGGAAGAGAAGGAGATATTTCATGCAAAGTCCTCTCTCTCCACCATTGACTAATATTGTTGTTGTTGTTGTTAAGTGCCGTTGAGTTGGCCCCGACTCATAGCGACCTCTCCTTGGGTTTCTAAGGCAGTATCACTATGGAGGGAGCTCTGGTAGCATAGTGGCTAAGACACTTGCCTGCTAACCAGATGGCTGGCGGTTCAAACCCACCAGCCACTCCTCGGAAGGAAGGTTGG